CTCTGTCTCTCTCTCTCTCTCTCTCTCTCTCTCTCTCTCTCTCTCTCTCTCTCTCTCCCTCTCTCTCCCTCTCTCTCTCTGTTGGATTGTGGACCCATTCACAAGGGTCCATCTTCCAGAGGAGGAAAGCCTTGGGGGATGATTACTAATATCTGTCTAAGGTGGTCCCCAATAAAAACACACACACTTATCATTTATTTTGGGTCTGGTGAACTCAGTAAAACCCCGTCTTCACATGAAATTTTTTATTGAAACTAAAGACAAGTATGAAGTCTTTACCAAATAGTTTACATGAATTGGATTTTCTCTTCCATAAGTTCTTTCCGATTACCTGATATCAAGATGATACAAAAAACACTTATATTATGTACAGGGTTAGAGATATGGTTTAGCAAATTTGTGGAATGTTCCTTGCCAGGGCCGAGATCAAGTTTGTTAGAACTTTCTGTAGTTTCAGCTACAAGAACCCTCAAGGGTCTAAACTTCATGAGAACAAGCATGAACAGTCAGGAACCCACACATAGACATCACATAATTAAAATTAAATCAACTCTCTATCCAAACAGATTTTCCCATGTGAATATTCTCTCTTGTAATCAGTCGTGCCTGTAACCCAGGTGTTGAGGCATTTAAAGACTTAACAGTTTCCCTTCATCCTGAATTAGTTCATGTAACAGAAGCAAAAATGCAGGATTAAAGTTAGAGAAATCAATAGATCTGATTGATGTTTTTATGCAATTAAATAATAGTGTGTAATCAAAATGGTTAACTTTTAAATGAAGTCATAGGACTTTGTCCACTTGAGTTTGCAGGTGCAAAGAAAGTAGACATCACAATGTTTGAGCAGATTGTTGACAGTTTTCAGATTTTTTTCTCTCCAGAAACTTGTGTAACTAAATGGGTGTAGGCTGAAGATTGGACAAAATTCTTTACATTAAGATTCCCTGCAGGATGAATTTTCTAGGCCCTCAAAGTTTTGTGTGATATGCAAAGTGTACAACTTTACCACAATGCTTACATTTATAGGGTTTCTCTGC